CACTCTTTGGCAAGCACCAAATCTGAGGCAGGAAGGGACAGGCTAACTCTATTGTGCAAGCACAGCTGGTTTATGATCAGGACTGCCCTTACCTATAAGGCTGCTAACGCCCAAGCCTGGAAGGGAAAAGATAAACACCAACTGTTAGTCTTTTGGTTGTGCAACAAGAAGCCCTGGACAAGGAGAAAACTTTTTCTGGATTGGTTCCATCAATGCTTTGTTGCTGAGGTCAGGGAGTTCCTTGCCAGTAAGGCACTGTCTTTTAAAGTTCTTTTGATACTGAACAATGCCCCCAGCCACCCAGAGTGCCACGAGTTTGACACCGAGGTGTCAAAGTGGTCTTCTTGCCCCCAGACACATCTCTACTTCAGCCTCTAGATCAGGGAGTCATAAGGGGTCATGACACACGGTACTCTATGGAAAGGATGGTTGACATTGTGGAAGAGAACCCTAACAGAACATCACGAAAATCCGGAAGGATTGTACCATTAAAGATGCCATCGTTAAAGAGCCATGAAAGCCATCAAGCCCAAAACAATAAATTTCTGCTAGAGAAAACTGTGTCCAGATGTTACACATGACTTCACAGGATTTACAATAAAGCCAGTAGAGAAAATCATGAAAGAAATTTTGGATATGGCAAAAAAAAGCAGGGAGTGGGGTGAAGGGTTTCAAGTTATGGATCTTGGAGAAATTCAAGAGCTAGCAGACACCACACCAGAGGAGGAAACCGAAGACAACTTGGTGGAGGCGAGTGCTTCCGAACCAGTGCCAGACGATGAGGAAGGAGACACAGAAGTGCTGGAAAACACACTGACTTTGACAGTCTGGCAGAAGGGCTCCGATCATTCAAGACTGCTTTAGACATCGCTTGTACCACGGACCCTTCTGTGATAACAGGCACTGAAACCAAAGCACATGGTGGAAGGAGGGTTGGTGCTGTAGAGAAACATTTTTAGAGAAACGAAGAAACAAAAAGTCAGAAATTACTGTGTATTTCCATAGAGTTACACTGAGTGTGCCTGCCTCCCCGCCCCCACGTCCCCCTCCTCCGCCTCTTCCTCCACCCCAGGAACAGCAAGACCAAGCCTCCTCTTCCTCAGCATACTCAGCGTGAAGGCCTGTGTGGTGATCGCCTCCACTTAAGGAAGAGTGGGATAGGAAATGAATGGATAGTAAATGTATTTTCTCTTCCTTATGATTTTCTTAGTAACATCTGCTTTTTTCTCTAGCATGCTTTATGGTAAAAATACAGTATATAATGCATGTAAAAATGTGTTAATCAACCATTTATGTTATCGGTACGGCTTCTGTTCACCAGTAGGCTATTGGCAGTTAAGTTTTGGGGGAGTCGCATTATATGCAGATTTTCAACTGCGAGGGTGCTGGGCGCCCCTATTCCCCATGTTGTTGAAGGATTAATTGTGTCACCCTTTTTGTTTGCCATTGCAAATGGTGCCTGTTCTTCTGTGAGATCTCATGATTAGAGGGCTGTGTATGTCTTTGATTTTGTACCCCATGACCTTATTGATGTCTGTTACTGTTTGTGGTAGATTTTCAGTTGATTCTTATTTTTCTGTCATACAATCATATCATATGAAAATAGTTATCACTTTACGTCTCTCCAGGTTTTTAGCACTGGTTTCTTTCTAATTGCAGTGGTTAGCACCTTTTATGTAATGTTCAGTATTGGCAGTAGGGGGCATCTTTGTCTTGTTCTTGACTTTAATGATTCTGTTATTAACCCTCATAAAGTATGACTCTGCTTTTTAGCTGAGATAGCTATCTATTCATATTTTACTGCTCATTTTTAGAAAATGTCAATGAATTTTGTCAAATGACTCTTCAGCCTCTATGGAACTGTTCATATAAATATTTTCCCCCTACCTATTAGTATAATGATATTAGTATAGACTGCCTAACATTTAATCATTTTGTATACCTTAAGTAAACTCTCCTTGGTCATGATGTATTATTATTACTTTAATGTACTTCTTCTTGCTATTACTTTATTTAGGATTTTTGTATTAATACTTGTGAGAGTCATCTGTAGTTCTTTTCATTATTACAGGAAATCGCTGTTGGATTTGGTATTCTTGTTATACTTCCTTCCCAA